AAGTGTGATTGTAGAGCCAATAGCTGAAGCAGCTAACAGTTATTATAAGACCATAATTAGTGACTCAGAATAGGAAGAGAAAAAAAATGAAAACAGAGTTTTCCAAGGGTTTGTTTATTACACACGCAAATGTCGTAATAGATTTACTGGGACATGTTCTAAATAAGAACACATTGACATAATCAGGTTGTTGGAACGTCAGTACTGCGTTCTTGTCACTTGTATTGATGAGTCACACTTTGACTATTAAAGTCTTCTGGGCACCAGTTTTGAAATAATTTAGAGCTTTCTTTTCACCAGGCAATCTTGATAATTTTTAAGATACTTATTTTTGGTATGGTTTGATTTATTAAGAATATAATGAAAATCATTACTGACTTTCTATGTGCCCAACATTACTATATGTACCAATGTAGCAAACATTTATCAAACCCCGCAGAAAATGCTGTGTTAGGCATTGGGAGAGATATAAGATTTTAATAAAATATGGTTTCTACCCTCAAGGAACTTTTAGTTTTATTGGGAGAATAACATACCAACAGCAGTAGCTGTAATACACAACACCATGTTAGAATTAGAAAATAAAATGCTGTGTGGGATTTGAAGGTAAATGTAGGGGATCTGCTCAAAAGGGATTGGGGAAGGTTCCGTTTGTTAGGTTTTCAAGGATGACGAGAGAGGGACAGGCCTTCTAGATATAGGTAGCCATTTGAGTATGCTGGGTTCCACTCCAGCTGGTCTGCTTGGTGTTTTGTATTCCGTCTTCTCTTTTGGTACCTTTGTACAGACTGGCCTTCCCTCCATGCCTTTTGGAACTCCTAAGTTCTCTTCCAGGCTGAGCTAATGGATGAGCTGAGTCCATGAGGCCTTTCTAGTTAGTGGTGCTGTCTCCATGAAGTTCCTTTATATTCATCTTGCATAGATCTTATAATTACTTAACTATGTGTTTTCCCCCTGGACGAATAAAAATAAGTTTCTTGAGGGCAGGGATGGTTTTGGTTTTCTCTTTTTATTCCTAGTACCTATCCAACAGTTAGTAGGTATTTCTTAAGGGTTTAAACTGAATTCTTGTTTCTTATTCAGTTTCATTTTATTTTGAGTTCTGAATTCTCTCCCTCTCAACTCCCACTCTCCCACCCATTGAGAAAGCAAGAGAAACAACCCCATTACAAATATGTATAGTCATGCAAAACAATTCTGCATTAGCCATGTCCAAAAAAAAATATGCTTCAATCTGCACTCTTTTTTAAAATTAATTTATTTTGATTTATCAACAATCACTTCCATAAGCTTTTGAGTTTTAAATTTTTCTCCCACCTCCCTCCCCAGGATGGCATACAATCTGATGTAGGCTATACATATACATTCCTATTAAATACATTTTCACATTAGTGATGTTGTAAGGAAGAATTAGAACTAAATAGGAGGAACCACCAGAAAGAGGAAACAAAACACAACAGAAGAAAAAAAAATAGCAAATAGTATGTTTCAGTCTGCATTCAAACCCCATAGTTCTTTCTTTGGATGTGGATAGCATTTTCTATCATGAGACCTTTGGAGATGTCTTAGATCCTTGCATTGCTGAGAAGGGCTAAGTCTGTCAATGGTAGTCAAAGTCTTTCCAGGTTTTGCTGAAGTCAGCCTGTTCATCATTTCTTATAGCATAATAGTATTCCATTACATTCATATACCACAACTTGTTCAGCCATTCCCCAACTGATGGGCATCTTCTCAATTTCCAATTCTTTGCCACCACAAAAAGAGCTGCTGTAAAGATTTTTGTAATTAAAGATCTCTTTCCTTTTTCCTGTTTTATTTTGCATTTTTCTAATAGTGGTAGAACATTTTTTCATATTTATTCTACTTATAGCTTGATTTTTTTTTCCTCTGAAAAGTGCCTATTCGTATTCTTTGGTCATTTATCAATTGGAGGATGACTCCTATACTTAAATTTGAATCAATCCCCTGTATATTTTAGAAATGAAACCTTTATCAGATAAACTTGCTACAAATGTTATTTTCCCATAAACCTGCTTCACTTCTAATTTTAGCTGCATTTGTTTTGCTGTGTAAAGACTTTTAATTTATGTAATCAGAATTGTGCTTTTATTTCCTGTGAACTTCTCTGTCTTGTGTGGCTTTGAATTCATCCACATCTGTGTATCTGACAGTTATTTTCATCTCTGCTCCTCCAATTTGTTTATGATGTCACCCTTTATGTCTCAATCATGCACATATTTAGAGCTTGTTTTGGTAGATGGTGTGAGATGTTGCTCTCCAGACCTAGTTTCTGCCTGACTATGTTCCAATTTTCCCAAAGGTTTTTCTTAAGTAGTGAGTTCTTGCCCCCCCCCCCCCAGTAGCTGGGATCCTTGGTAACATGACCTTTTAAAGTATTTGAAGGAGGGAAGGTTACCAAAAGGTTGGCCCAAACTCTCAGACCTTATTGTTACCAGAGAAGAAAGGAAAAAGATAGAACCTGAATATCCATGTCTGTCATTGTTCTCATTCCCACTGAATTTCCATAAGAATGACGACACACCTGGATTGAAGGCTGTAGCCTGCCATGCCCCAGGCTCACAACTGTCCAAGATATAAGATCCCGTTGTTATTGTTTGTTGATTGTCAAAACAAAATCCGAATTTTTGATTTAGTGGAGCAGGAGGCCAGCATAAAAGGTCTCCGATAAGATGTTTCCCATTCACATAAAAATCAAAATGATTTCTTTGAAGAAGTAGCAATAGAAATAGCTTTTACCTGCTGATGATTAATGTCACCATCATAAACCAGTGAGACTTACGGGGGGTAAAGGTTTTTGTCCTTTGGAAGCTGTCCAGTACAGAGTCCAGGTAGACGAGAGATGCCTAGTAGATGGTAAGGTCCTCTATGTGTTCTCTTTGGGGATGACTTTGAGATGATTGCATCAAGCTCCACAACCTTACAGAACTTACTCAATGTGACTTTTACTCATGAGGAATTCAACCTAACTATCCACACTAAACAAGCCAGGTGGCCAGAAATGCTTATTGTCCAGTCTGTGATGTGCTGTTCATAATGTGCGTGGACAATGACTTGGGATCTTCGTTCCACAGGCAGAAGGAGAAGGGGCTGTATGGAGTGTGGGAGGTTCTACAGAGCTTTCTGGTTTAGATAGCATGACCACATTTGTATTGTAGAATGCATTTGTTGCAGAAATCCCTTCTCTTTTTGCAAGCAGTTTGTGCAGTATTGGGATTAATCATTCTTTGAATGTTGAATAGAATTTACTTGTTACTCTGTTTGGTCCTGGAGTTTTTTCTTTGGGAGCTCATTTAAGGCTTGTTCAGTTTCTATTACTGAAATTGGGTTGTTTAAATTCTCTTATTTCTAGTTCTGATAATCTGGGTTTTTATATTTTCTAACTATTCATCCATTTCATTTAAGTTGTTGTTTTCCTTGTGTAATCCGTGTGACAATTATGTACCCAAACGATTACTTGTGGGATAAATAGAAAATAATTGCCAGAGGGAAGGCCCTAGAACTAAAAGAAATTGGGAAGGGCTTCCTGTGGAAAGTGGGATCTAAGCTGGGACTTGAAGGAAGTCAGGCAGAAGGGGAGCATTCCAGACATGGGGGGGTGGCCAGTGAAAACACCTGGAGTCGGGAGATGAAGGAGGGCATCCAGAGTGGTGAAGGGCATTGAGGCAATTCATATGAGCCTTAGTTGAAGGAAGTGGGGATGTTAATCCTGGAGAAGACAAGTTTAGGAAAGCATTTTTTCACTGACAGCTTTGGTCCATGTGTAGATGATTCTCATAAAGATTTTATAAAGCTGGAATAGTAAGACATAGGGGCCTGCAGTTACTGATTGTCCCCCTGATCTCTTTTTAGGGTTAAAATACTGTTGGTCAGTTTTACCCTTTTTAGTATCTTCCTCTAAACATCACCGGAAGCCTTTCTAGGATAGAGAAACTTCCATTCAATAAAAAGGTAGCAGATTCTGTCCTCTAAAGCCTTAGACTTCTATTTTAATGAAGTTTGGAAATAGTTGAGCAATTTTCATTTTTCTTAAAGGTCCTAAAAACAGTCAGTGTTCTACCTCCAAATCCATCAGCTCAGGTACTTTATGCCAATGTAAAGTTATTTTTAAATTCTAAGTAATATAATTGATAGCTTTTTAAGCTGCTGGTTGGGAAGAATTCTTATGTAGTTTTTGTTGTGTTACTTGTGAATGTTAAAAATTCTTCATTAAAAAGAATTTCTGTCTTTAAAAAGTTTTTGTATTGCATGCTTTAGTTCAGTAACATCATATAAATTTTAAACTTCTTTCTGTTTTTTCCCCAAACCACATCAGTCTTTGTCTCATTTTTTCCTTAGCTTTAACCAAAAGGAAAAAATGGATTAGTGGCTTATTTTTAACTTGAATGTTAAATTCTGTTTCAGTTTTCATAAAATAAATTAGGGATCTTTTGTTTAATAACATGCCATGTGGTCTGCAACTTACTCATGAAACTTTGGGTCTTTATTTTTCCTTAAAATTTGTTTAGAAAACAGTATTGAAAAAAATTGCATTGTTAGTAAGTGAATTCATGCAATTTTGTTATTAATAATAACAAATACTTAAGACTCTTTGCTAATGAAAGGGACCTGTAGTGTTAATGATTCTGATATTCATATGAAACCACATACTTTTGCCACCTGGTTCAATTTTTTCTGTCTTGCACCTTTATAGAAAAGCTAGCCATGAAAAATAATATTGATCTGCGTTTCCTTCTCCCTTCTAATGCCTGCCCTCTGCTGGAGAAAATAGTGAAATTATCTGAAGCTGGAGGATGGGATGGGCATTGGTAATACATCAATTTATAAAAATTATTTTGTAATCATTTAGGTGGTAAACTTGGTGTTTCAACATAAGTACTGCCTGTGAAGATTTACTACTCTAATATTTTTGAAAAATATGTGATTTTGATTTTTGTGTTTGGAAGTACCTCCCTGATTCTCATAAATGTCTCTTTCCAAAGGGTCTTGTTGAGGCATCACAGAATCTAAAAATGGAAAATGAAGAGCTGAAGAAAAAACACAGTGAAGCAGCTTCCAGAGTTCTCCAGCTCGAGGAGGATCTTGTGACTGTGACCCAGAGAGCGATTACAAAGGAGACTGAGTTGGACAGGTATTGAAGATGGCGGTTGGTGACTGCTTTACTTTCAGAAGTGACTTCTTCTCATATTTAACTTGACTTGATGTTTTCTTAGTTTGAAAGACAAACTCAAGAAAGGAACACTTGAAAAAGAGCAACTGGAATGTCAGTTGAAGACTGAAAAGGATGAGAAGGAACTTTATAAGGTAATTTGCTTTTTTTTTATCTTTCTCCTTATAATAATTAGATTTGAAATTTTAGAAAACTAGGTGGCATGCTCAATGTATGTAGTATGAGAAAGGTAATCTATTTTTTAAACAATAACTTATAAATTCAAATGAATATCATGTTACAAGTAGTCACCAGTGGAGATTGTACTTATTCCATCGAGCCTTTTATTTCTCGGGTGTTTTTTGGAGTAACTTTTTTACCATTATTGTTAGAGCCTAAAATTGTAATATATTCAAGCTTTAAAGATGGAAACTTGCTACTATAGCTGATAAAACTTGGGATACCAGAGAAGCAAAGATTTTGTTAAGGTTATACTGTTAATGTGTACAGGCAGGCGTCTCAATAATCAGAGCTCACATTTATAAAGCATTGATAGGGCTGTAAAGTAGATTAGCTCATTTGATCACAGTTGGATTCTCTTTCCATTTCACTAGATTACTTTCTTTGTCTGTGTCATTAAAAACAACCAGTATTCTCTCATGGTGACAAATCTTTTCCCTTTGTGGGTGGAGTTCTTTTTCTTTTTCTTTTACTTTTTTTTTTTTGCATTTCTTTCTTAGATGTTTTTCTTTTGTTTCCTTTTTTTAATTAATTTTTTTGATTTGTCAACAATTACTTCCATAAGCTTTTGAGTTTTAAATTTTTCTCCACCTCCCTCCCCAAGATGACATGCAATCTGATATAGGCTATACATATACATTCCTATTAAAAATATTTTCACATTAGTGATGTTGCAATGAAGAATTAGAACCAATAAGAGGAATCACCAGAAAGAGGAAACAAAACACAATAGAAGAAAAAATAATAGCAAATAGTATGCTTCAATCTGCATTCAAACTCCGTAGTTCTTTCTTTGGATGTGGATAGCATTTTCCATCATGAGGCCTTTGGAGATGTCTTAGATCCTTGTATTGCTGAGAAAGGTCAAGTCTATCAATATTAGTCATCGCACAGCGTGGCTGTTATTGTGTACAGTGTTCTCCTGGTTCTGCTCACTTCACTCAGCATCAGACCATACAACTCTTTCCAGGTTTTTCTGAAGTCTGCCTGTTCATCATTTCTTATAGCACAGTGGTATTTCGTTACATTCATATACCACAACTTATTCAACCATTCCCCAGCTGATGGGCATCCTCTCAATTTCCAATTCTTTGCCACCACAAAAAGAGCTGCTATAAATATTTTTGTACATGTGGGTCCTTTTCCCATTTGTGTGATCTCTCTGGGATATAGCCTTAGGTGCTATTGCTGGGTCAAAGGGTATGCACAGTTTTATAGCCCTTTGGGCATAGTTCCACATTGCTCTCCAGAATGGTTGGATCATTTGACAACTCCACCAGCAATGCATTAGTGTTCCAATTCTCTCACATCTTCTCCAACATTTATCATTTTCCTTTTTTGTCACGTTGGCCAATCTGATAGGTGTGATGTGGTGTGGTACCTCAGAGTTGTTTTGATTTGCATTTCTCTAATCAATAGTGATTTAGAGGGTGGAGTTCTTTTTCAAGTTAAATCATTAATAACTAAGACTGGTAAGTAAAGTGGATATTGAAGCCAAAGAGTTTTTATTTTGGACAAAGATGAAATTGATTTTCTTGCCTATATTTTCATTTCTTTAGAAGACAGTTCTAAAAGCAGTCCCACAAATGTTTTCAGCAGTGGCAATATCATTGGAGTCAGTGCATATGCCCTTAAAGGTGATGTTTTGGAAGGATAGTGGTCAGTGAGATGTTGCAGTTATGGTGTGTTGTTTTGGAAATTAGGGTGTAGTCTCCTGTGAGGAAGACATGATCACACAAAGATGAGGTGCTGAACCCCCCAAAAGAATGGCTCTGAGGAGATCTCTTTGTCAAAGGGGATTGACTTTCTGTGTAGCATTGGGAGCCCTTGCTGTCTGTGGAATGTTTGTTTCATTTTTGTCTCTGGGTTTACTGTTTAGCACGTGGTAGGAACTTAATGCTTGTTGGTTGATTTAATTTGTTTACACACACACACACACATACACACACACACACACAGTCTTTGTGCTTAAAATTTATTGGTAAATGATTAAATCCCCTGGAAATTTAAAGAGATGTCAATGGAAAAATCATTCTTAGTTTTAGTTATAATGGAAGAGCTCAAGCATAGAATAGCCCGCTAGAGAAGGGATGTAAGAATTTAATTAGTTATAACTAAACAGCTTTTATAGAAGACTAATACCATGGAATGCACATTCCTCATTTGGGGAATGGGGGAAGGAACAGGCGTTTATTAAGCACCTATTATGTGTCAGACACGGTGCTAAGTGCTTTTACAGACACTCTCTTTAATGCTCCTCACAATAACCCTGTGAGGTAGGTGCTAAAATGACCCCCTGTTTTACAGTTGAGGAAACTGGGACAGACAGAAAATATGTGACTTGCCCAGCGTCCTACAGCTAAGTGTCTGACTGAACTCAGAGCTTTCTGGTTCCAGGCCCTGTGCTCCAAGCCACTGAGTCGCCTAGCTGCTTGTTTTATTTAATTACCACAACACTTTTGTGAGCTGAAATGATATTTGTGTACCTTTCTGGTTTGAAAATTTTACCAAGTTGTTTTTGTTTTAATATGAAGAGCAAAAAATTTCATACAGGATTTTTGGTTTGTTGTTCATTTGGTTCAATTGTGTCTGACTCTTCGGTGACCCCATTTGGGGCTTTCTTGGCAGAGATCCTGGAGTGGTTTACCATTTCCTTCTCCATCCAGTTCATTTTACAGAGGAGGAAACTGAGGTGAACATCAGGTTAAGTGACTTACCCAGGGTCACACAGCTAGTTAGTGTCTGAGGCCAGATTTTGAGCTGTGGTCTTCCTGACTTCAGGCCCAGCACTCTATCCACTGCAACATTGCCTCACTGCCCTAGTCAGGATTAATTTTAGACTAAATAGCCCAATCTGAGTTGGGCAGTATAGATGTTCTAAAGTGTGTGCTTGTATTATCTAGATATTAGGAAGTGTACATACCTGAAAACTTCAGTGATGGGAGAGAGGGGGAGAGAGAGAGAAAACTTGGCAGTCTTTTCTTAGGAAGTGGAGGTCCTCTTCTGGGTTGAGTGCCCCCTTCTTTTTCTTTCCTTTATTCCCTCCCTGATCCAGGTTTCAATGAAAGCTTCAGAGGGTTGCAGGTCTATTTGAGAGGAAGCTCACAGTGTTCTTGTCCCGTTTCCTTGTAGGGAGCACAGCTGATTCTTGAGTTGCACCTTATTTCTTTACTTCCTGACTTTTTCTCCAGGTTGCCTGCCTGGCCCCCCAGCAGGATTGTTGATCCTGAAGTATAGATGAGTCTCCACAGGCCGACAGCCTGCACAGCAAGCCCCCGGGGCACTGTCCCTTTGCTTTGACACAGGGTTTCCTGGCTTATTGCAGGTTACTTCCCCGGGTGCCAGCAAACATGAGTCTGTTGGTTTTTCCCTGAATGCTGCATTCTGCTCCCTATCTGGGCCTTTGCTTTGACTTGCCTCTGCACCTGGAAGAGCCTCCTTTCTCTCCTCTGCCTCTTAGAATCAGATCTCCAGGGGCAGCTAGGTGGCACAGTGGATAGAGCACCAGCCCTGAAGTCAGGAGGACCTGAGTTCAAATCCGGCCTCAGACCAAACACTTGACATGTACTAGCTGTGTGACCTTGGGCAAGTCACTTAACCCTGATTGCCTCCCCCCCCCCAAAAAAGGAATCGGATCTCCTTCCCTGGGTCAGCTGACCGGCCCTGGTCACCCCTAGCTTGTCTTCATTGCCCCTGTTTTGCTGCTAGTCTCTCCCACTCCCATGCCCCAATAATTACTTTATAATTTTACAGAAAAAATTATCTTGTAGTAACTTACAGGTGTGTTGATTATGTGGAAAGCAAGCTCTTTGAAGCTGACAACAAATGGTTCTTTCTCTGACTCCAGCTCTGGTGCCTGGCATGGCGCTTCACGTGTGCTTGTGGAATGAATGACAGGAAGGGAACGTTCCTTTGGGCATTTTCCCCTTGGTTACTCACTTGCTGCTTTCTACTGCATGGGACTTGGATTTTCCATTTGAAATCTCAGACCATTTTCCCATGGATTCTGATTAAAATCCTACTTTCCATGTGTCTATTTTTCAAAAAAAATGATCCAGTGCTCACTTCTGGCAGGGGTTTCTTTTCTGTCTTCTGTGCCTTCGTTTCTCCTCCTCTGGCATGGCGAAGCTTTGAGACCTGCCTTTCTTACTTACTCACCAGGTGACCAGGCCCTTGTCCTGGATCCTCAGGGGTTTCCTCTGCCACAAAATGGGGATGATTTCTCTGGTGCCTACTTAGAGGCCTGTTTGAGGGTCGGATGAGATAATATAACATCATTATAATATAACGTAATATGACATCTTTATAAAACTGAACCACGATAGAGGTTTCTATTGTTATGTTATTAATGATGTGAAGAGGAAGCCTGGTAGAATGAAGATAGTGAGGTCTTCCTTGTGCCACATCAGTGACTCCATGTATCTGCAGGAAACACCAATGTGGGTGCTGGGGGAATATAACGCATGATGCTCTCCTTTCCTTTTAATTTGTTTAACACTTCCATAAGCAAGCATTTAAGTGCCACATGCTGGGCACTGTGCGAGGCATTGGGGACACAAGACAGAGTGACGGGCCTGCCCTCAGACAGCTTTCTTCTCGGAGTCTCCTCTCCTCATCTGTAGTTGATAACCCTTCTTTTCTCTCTAAGGTCATTGTGAGGATCAGATGAAAGCCTGCTTGAAAATGCTATGTAGGGTATAAAGCTAGATCATCTGTCTGTGCAATGGTTCTCTCTCTCCCCCTTTGGCCTTGGTGCGGTGCTAGGCCCATTATTTTTGGAGGTGGTCTGGTGATATAACCCTGGGCTCTGGGAGTCAGAAATTCTTGGGTTCCCCTTTGTGTTTGTGGCTGAGGAACAGTCTCACTACCCCTTATTTTCCTTGTCTGGCTCACGGAGTTTGTGGTGAACTGCGAAGCGCCATTTAAAAGGGAACAGACAGGCCTTTGGTGGGAGCAGCCCCTGAGATTTCTCCATAGACATCCGGAGACTTGGACATGGGCAGAACAGTCCTGCTGTGTTGTCATGGGAGGTCTTCCGTGGACTCTGGGGCTCTCGAGGCATACACCCTAAGAGGAGCCTGGGGGATGGGCTCTTTCAGACTCCTCCGTTCACTGAGTTCTGAATTGATCCCTCAGTTCTGGGTTCACCTAGAATACTTGGGAAGGACCACCCAGCTTCTTCAGATTTCATAAAGGGCCCTGACTCTAGTTTTATTGAAGACCCTGAAGTGTCATCGCTAACCTCGTTTTAGAGGTAAGGAAGCTAAAGCCTAAGAAATCCGAGCCAAGCGTCTCTCTAATTACACGGTGTGGCCGTGACTAGACTCCCCTCTTGCTGTTTTCCCGTAGAAGATTTCAGTGATTCATCAGTTCATAGGAGCTCAGTTAGTTCATGATGTACCTTTATTATATTATTGTTCTAATGACATTATACAACCAGACCACTGATGAGCTTGCTTCTCTAAGAATATGCATTCCTAGTTCCAACTCAAGATGCTTGGGACATATTTTCCCTCTGATATAAGACTGGGAACTCTGAACTCTCCTTTGTGCCCACTCCTCCCATGCTTTGGGATGAGGGACTTTACCTATCGAAGCCGCTGTTGATGGCCCTCTTTGCCTGGTTTCCAGGTGTATGGGGAGAAGGTTAGGGATGAGGCCCAAGGGTATTGAGGTAAAGATCTTTGAGGTCAGCAGAACTCTGACCAGCATCAGTTGCTGGGGAGGCTTAGCCTTGGAGGTGGGCCCTCTCCCAATTAGATGGAAATACAAGATGAGAAGGAGGGCTGCTACCTGGGGGGTGTAAAGGGCATGGTTCCATGCCTGAAAAAGGAGGAAGTACAGGAAAGCCCCAAGTGTGGGGGTCAGGGGAGAGGGATGGGGGAAGGCAGAGAACCTTTAATTAAATGTAGAACGATCTCAGATTGGGGTGTGCCCAGCCCCTCATTTGACAGGTGAGGAGACCAAGGCCAGAGTGCCCAAGGTTAGTCACCCTTTGCAGCAAAGCTGGACCCGAGCACAGCTTTCCAAACAACTGCCCTTGTGGCATTCCCACCATTGTTGCAGGTCCATCTGAAGAACACAGAGATTGAGAATACCAAACTTGTCACCGAGGTGCAGACTCTGAAGAATTTAGACGGAAACAAGGAGAGTGTGATTGCCCATTACAAGGAGGAGGTGGGCCGGCTGCAGCTCTGCGTGGCGGAGAAGGAGAACCTGCAGAGGGCCTTCCTGCTGGCAGCCCCAAGCAAAGTGAGTCCCTACAGTTCTGCGCACTGCCCGTCTCGCGCACCATGCACCTCTTTGTCTGTGATAGAGACGAGATGTTGATGATATCAATATGGATGATCAGGGTGTTCAGTTGTTAAACCGGTGTTTTGGACATTAAAAAAAGTTAATGTTAACAATTCATTCAATATGGATTAATTGTAGATTTTTGTTTCTTAAAAAAGTCTGATTGTATGATTGCATTTCGTGACCCTTCTATTTACTACGTACGCAGAGTGTACTGAGATACAACTTATTAGTTTTAATCAAAAGAATCTATTGCTTTCTTCTGTACATTTTTAAATATACACAAAGTAAAAATAGGATAATTGAATGTAGCAAAGTTATTGTGAGGAGCAGTTGGCTGCATTGTACAGATCTCCTGAACATGGAGTCACACAAAAATCCAGCACTTGGGGTTACCAGAGGCAAGTCACTGAAATATTTGCTGGGCCTCAGTTTCTTCATCTGTAAAATCGAGATGAGGATTATTGAACTCTCCTTACTTCCCAGAGTTGTGAGGAAAGTCGTTTGTAAACTGCAATATGTAAATTTGTTGGGTGATTGATAATAACACAAGGAAGAATTTTCATGACACGTTTAACCTTTTAACATTTGGTTTTTAGTTGTATCCTCATGACTTATCTTCATTTTTGGCAGTTTTTCAGACCTTATATTGATTATTTGATAGCTTCGATTTGTAACCAATCTCTAATAGAAAATTTGACCGAGTTATCCATTTGTTTGCTCTTTTGTCACCCAGTCATTATTTTACTAAGGCAGCCAGGTGGCACCATAGTGCATAGAGCGCCAGGCCCGGAGTCAGGAAGACTTGAGTTCAAATCCGGTCTCAGACACTTAGTAGCTTTGTGACCCTGGGCAAGTCACTTAATCCCATTTGCCTCCATTTCCTCATCTGTAAAAGGAACCGAAAAAGGAAATAGCAAACCACTCCTGTATCTTTGCCGAGAAACCTCAATCGGGTCACAGACAGTCAGACGTGACTGAAACAGCTGAACAAAAACAACAACAAATATTATTTTACTGGGCCCCAGTTAGACTTAAGGTGGGCAGGTCCAAAACCTGTTTTGGATCGGATTGTAACAACTTGGAAGTTGTTTCACAGACTTTTAATACAAATTGAAGGGTTTGATATTATTTAGATTTATGATAATGAAGGTGATAATAAGAGCTTAACCACTGTGACTCTCAAGTTATGATGGCCATAGCTGTCTTCATTTTCTCATTGTAAAATAATAAGGAAGGATGTAAAAGAAGTGGAAAGCTGAAGAACTTAGTACCTTGGGGCCCATGGGGTCCAACCCCTTTAGAAAACTAAAAGCTCATGAGATGAAATAATCTACTTGAGGTTACATAGATAGTAAATAACAGTGGTGGTTAACTTTAGGTCTCCTGCTCTGAAATTCTTTTTGCTCTTAGTGAAAACCTTTGGCCAAAAGTTTTTGTACTTCCAGAACAACTGCACGGTATTCCTCATTGGCTGTTACCAGTCATACAGCTGGGCTGGGGGCTCTGCTTAGAACAGGGATTGGGCTTGAGAGATGGAGATCCTCCTGCTCCAGAGCATCGTTGTAAGGGCAGAGGGAGGTGATAGCTTGGAGGGGCATGGGAAGACCATTGAAAAAGAAGTCCTGTGGAGATGTAAGATATTGCACCAATGGTCCCTTCAAGGCTTGTGGGTCATTTTGTTGTAATTCTAGTCTCCAGCATACAGTGGGCATAGAATGGAAGAATGGATAGACACATGACTAGTTACTTCCCTATGGAATTTTTCATTTTGCCAACTTAGTCATCTAGAATTACATCCAAGCAAAAGCATCCATGAACCAGAGCCCTGGCTCTGCAGTTAGTGGACTTGATTCAGACCTTGCCTTTCTTGGGCGTCTTGTGTGTGAAACGCGGTGGTTGGGCTAGGTGCTCTCTGCAGTACCCCTCAGCTCTCAAGCTGTAACTCTGTGCACAGACTGGGAGGGCATCAGGGGCTTATTTTCTTAGACATTTTAAAGATTTTGCTTTCTTAAAAATGAGAGAAGTTATCAAGTTTGAAGCAGGCATGTTGGTGTTACCTTCTGTGCCACGTTACTGTGGAGGTTAAGAGCTGGTGTGTTCTGTTGTTAGGAATAGAAGGTTTGGCCAGAAGTGGGTGGGGGTTGGTGGTTGATAGAGATTGGGAAACCTCGTCTGGATGAAATTTAGAGATTTTTTTTTTTACGTAGACACTTATTGATCATTTTTATTTTTTATTTATTTGTTTTTTTCAGGAAGATGCTGCATATCTAAAAGAGCAACTTCGCAAAGCAGAGGAGCAGGTCCAGGCTACTCGGCAAGAAGCTGTGTTTCTGGCCAAAGAGCTGAGTGATGCCGTCAGCGTGAGGGATCAGACCATGTCTGAACTCCATAGTGCCCGGCTAGAAAACGAGCAAGTCAGAAGCCAGCTAGCGGAGGCCGTGGCCGAGCTGAGAGTCGCTGTCGTGAAAAAGCAGCAGGTCAGTCAGCCGACTCTATTTTGAATTTACCTGGAGAAGTCATGCTGCTCGCAGAATATTTTCAAAGCTTAGAAAAGAAATGTGGTATTCTCATAACGTAGATCAAGGTTTGGATCACAACATTCTCTATTTTCATTCCTAATTCATCGAACCATTTTGCTTTCCTTGAGATTAATTTTGTGGTAAGCTAGTAGTATTTTCAGCATATTCTTAATGGTTCTGACTGATTCGGTTTTTGAATTAGGTTTTTCAGGGGAAAGATTATAATTTTTGTTTGAAATTTCCTGAAACCTGTTTACATTATTTAGAGTTAGGAATGTTGTAGGCAGAAATTCTTGGGAAAAAGTAGCCCAGATGACTCGGTTTCTTGGGTCACCTGTGGTTTTTAGTGGATGTGTGCTTCTGAGATGACTTTACCGTGACATTCTACGTATGTTCATTTGTGTAATGATTTTAAAAAATACGTGCTCTAGAAAACAAATGTGTTTCCAAAGGAAGTATCTAGGCTGTTTGTTTCTAAACTTGTTTTTACTAAAATCTTCTTCTTTTTAAAGGAGAAAACGGATCCAGTTGAGCAGGAGCTGCGTAGAGAGGTGGAAGACCTGAAGCTTCGCCTGCAGATGGCTGCAGACCATTACAGGGAGAAATTCAGGGAGTGCCAGAGGCTTCAAAAACAAGTGACCCGGCTCTCCGAGCAGGCCGTGAGTAGCTCTGATGGCAGGGCTATCAAAGGATTTCCTTCAGCCCTGTTGATGATCACTGATAAAAGCATGTTATAACCAGTACAAATATTAAGCAACATCCCAGCTGCACTATGCCTACATGCTTTCTGGGACTGGGAGGATTTTTCCTTCCTTTTTTTGCTTGACACCTGGTACCTAGGATTCCAGATGGATGAGACTTCCTTGTATTACAGATGAGGAAACTGAGGCCCACAGAGGGAAAGTGACTTGTCTAAGGTTGCTCAGGGAGAATGTAGTATTCTACATCTGGGGTATAGATTTCTACCACTACCCCTAGTACTTTTTCCTCCTATGCTGTGATAAGGAAATTGTCTGCTGAACCTGTCAGGGCTAGTCTGAAGTTGGGTCTCTTAGGGCAGCTTATCCAAGCGTAGCCAGCCAAGGTGGCAGGGTAGCAGTGGGAGAAAGTTGGGGCAACGTGCATGGCTGCAGTTCTTTTGTTCCTGATGCCTCAGAGCTCGGGGTGCAGCCTCTTGGTCCCTCTTTCTGTGGAATTGTGAGGCAGTTCTCGAGGGAAGTCAGCCTGCAGATTGGGCGTTCCACCTGTGAAGCAGTCCCCTGCGTCATCAGTTACCAATTTCCTTCTGTCATGTTGCAAGTCATCATTACGAAGGAAAGCAGGGATTTGGGCTGAAGAAACGCTGCAGGAAAGTGGAAGAATACAGAAGCCGGTCATTAGGGAAGGAGTATTAAAGACGTCATATGATTTCTGCTTTGTAAGGTGTTGGGGCCTGTCATTGAGGAGCTTAGGAGGTGCAGTGTTGATTTCCAGAGGGAGGTCTATGAGGAGCTCTGGTGACCAGAGGAGTGATTTATAAGAGAGACTTACTTCTCTGCTTGATAAAGTGTGTACAGTAAAGTACAGTGTCAACTGACAGGCCCTTTGTTAATCTTGTGGCATTATCTTTGCTAATCCTCTTCGTTTTTTTTCTTGTAATTATTAAAGTAATTAAATTTTGAGAATTCCTTCACTTATCAGATTGCTCCATGCCAAAATCTCTTTAAATGATTGTATGTATATTTTCAGTGATAATGTAAGTGTTTAACAATTGTTAAGATATTGAATAGACTACTAATAAAGATCTGTCTTTTCATAAAGAAAACTGGGAACCAACAGAAAGTGACGGATGCCTCAAGCAACACAGAGACAGCGTCTGGCTCTCCTGTTAACATCAAATTGGCAGCTGCTGCAGGTATCTTTAACCTGTCAAGTTTTTATGAGTTATCTTAGGCTTGAAAATAGCATCTGTCTGGAACAACATAGAGTCAGATAATCGAGATGATTGTTGGAGCAGAAGGCAAAAGAGTTAACATGGGATGATAGAGTGTCCAACTCTTTCAGCTCTGGCCTAACCCATTTAAATCAGCTGTTGATATTAGAAGGGAAATGGATAAAAAGAGATATCACCACAGTCAGTCAGTCTTTCCTGAGGAGGCTTAGCCAGTCACCATCAGGAGAAGGCCAAGGGAACCTAGAGAATGCTTTATCTCCTTGCTAAGCAGTGAGATGTGGTAGTCGGGTTGTCATTGGGCTTCTGGCTTGAAAACTATAAAAACCCAAACCCAAAACACTTGCTTTGGTAGAAGAGAATGTGGCCTTTGGTGGTTGTCTTCCAAGAAGGTGTCTTCCATTTGTCTATTACTATTACATAATATTTCTTGAAAGATGAAACAACATAGTTGGACCCTCTAATTATTAATAATAAATGAGGCACTAAACTGAGTGATGTGCGCTTGCTCAGGCTCTTTGCTGCTGTCAAGGCGTATATCCAGCAGAGCCAAACAGAAGAGGCATTCCCTAAAGATTGCAGCTGTACCAGCTGCTGGTGCTTGCATCAGACCTTAGGATGAGAGCCTATGGAAAGCATATGGCCTAACTACCTACACAGGGAGTCAGCTAGGTGGTGCAGTGGATGAAATGCCAGGTCTGGAGTCAGGAAGACCTGAGATCAAATCCGGCCTACTAGCTGTGTGACTCTGGGCAAGTCACTTCACCCTGCTTGTCTAAGTTTCCTCATCTGTAAAATGAGCTGGAGATGGAAATGGCAAATCACTTTAGTATTTTAGCCAAGTAAACCCCAAGTGGGGTCACAAAGAGTCAGACATGCTGAAATGATTCAACAATAACAACAACTCACACAGATTTTTGTGTGTGCTAAGATGGACACCTATTAGAACTGGTCCATCAGTACATAATCTTGGGTACGCATGGCACATAGTAAATAAAGTGGGCTCAAAATTGCGTAGGAGGCAGGTGGTGGGCTTGATTGCCTTGGGAAATTGTGCATTGCAAGCTTTTCCTCGATACAGAGGCTTTTTTTTCCTTTAAAAATAATTTTTTGCTGCTATCTTACATTTTAACGCCACCAAGATTTCCCAGTGTAACCCCTTGTTTGCCTTCCATAGAGCCATCTCTTATAGCAAGTAGTGAAGAAGGTGGGGTGGGTAGGGGGTAGTTCAGCAAAACCATCCAACCTGATGAAAAAACCTGACCCTGTAAGCAGTGATGCCTTCGCTTCTCTTGGGGTCAGGTTTGGTTAGTGTAATTTTGTGGGGTTCAGTTTTGATTGCTTTCTTGCTTCTGTCCTTTCCTTTACGTTGCTGTGCTCATTGGAGATATTGTTTTCCTGATCCCCTCTATCTCCATGTATGTAGTCCTGTCACGTGGTTCTGTGTTCATAACATTGCTCATTTCTTATGGCCCAGGGACATCCCATAACACTCACGGTCCGCAGCATGTTGGGGGCCCTGCCTCAGGCAAGGGGCAATTACTTTGGTTCCAGTTCTTTGCTACTGCACAGAATGTTGCTCTAAATATTTTTAATTCTATTGAGAATGTCAGTGTTCTTTTGGTGTGATGGTAACAAAAGGCCACAGTCTCTGATAAACCAGTTTCCAGCCACCCAAAGAACAGCAGCTAATGGGTGATGGATGTGAATAGGCTGAGGCATTGTCAGGAAGACGTGCAGGGGAAGCCATGCAAAGGATTTTATGAGAGAAATACCTAGAACCCATCCGTTCACGTGAGAAGAACAGTGGCAAGGTCTGGCCTTGTGTTCCGTCCTCGTTAGCACCTTCTACATAGATCTAGAAGAAATTCTTCTGAGGAGGGGGATCCTGCTGGAGAGCATTTATGGGAGGAGGGCTACACCAGTCTAGAGCCTGAGTAGGCATGAAGGGCACCTGATGTGTGCTCTGTCAGAGGGAGGATTTACATGAAGAGGACCCATGGCCAGTGATGTAGTGGAATACCTGTATAAAGACTTAGCTTCAGAGTTTGTAGGAGTCCAAACAGGACAGGAGATCAAGGGCTACGTTGTTTCAAAGCCAGCCTGAGTTTTAATCAAGATAAAGCGTCAGGATTCTGCTTTGTGAGACTTCAGCGTGAAATGTCTTTAAAGTGATGGTGGTGGGCACAGTCAGTCCACATGTTGCCTTTGGCAGTGGACTACCTTTTGTCCACCTAAGCTCTGCTTAGTTAACTTAAGAAGGGAAATGGGAGATTTCTCATCAGCACTTTCACATTTGTTTTTAATAGTTGGACTTGCTACGTCTGAGATGATTCCTGAGGTGGTGACAAAGGGGCAAGTTTGTGAAATGACCAAAGAAATTGCTGAGAAGACAGAAAAGTACAAGAAATGTAAACAACTCCTCCTGGTAAGTCAGTGGCTTTGAGAAGTTGCACCGGAAGCCAGTGGTGGAGGGGCTTCCAGGCACTTCTTCTCTCCCTCTCCTGAGGTCTCGCCAAGGCAAACTGCTCTTCCTGCTGAACACGGGCCGTTATTGAGCCTTTGGCCTGTGATTTTGTTGTGTGCGGCCTCCTAGAGGAGGAGACGCCAGTGCCCATGCTGGTCAGCACCTTCTCTGCCTCTGGTGGAGCCCTGAGGAGGCCAGTGACTGTGTATAAACTGAGGGCTTCCTGGATCCAAGGCTGGCTTCTCGTCACCATGGGATGTAGCCATTCAGCCTCATTTGTTTTTCTTTTAAAAAATGATGTGATGGAGCTTTAAAGAGACACAAAATGTTTCCAGTCTCTAGGTGATTTTTGGAAGACAACTTCATTCTTGGTAATAGTAATAATTCTCATTGATTTAGCGCTTTTCAGTTTCACGCATTCTGCTTTAAGCAGCCCTGTGGGAAAGGTAATTTAAGGATCTCTTCCTCCTTTCCAGATGAAGCAGCTGAGCCTCTGCCTGTGGAAGATTAGGATTTGCCCACAATTACCAATATAATAAGTGTGTGAGGCAGGATTTAAACCCAAGTCTCACACTTCTCGCATTATACTAGGTTGCTGTGGTCGTAAAACAAGTGAAATCACCACACTTTGCTTTTCCCTCTGCAAAAATTACTTTCTCTGGTATAGAGGAGTTGACACCAGCCTTGGAGTCAGGAAGCTTTGGGTTCAAATTCCACTTTTGCCATTACTATCTGCGTGACCTTGGGCATGCATTTAACTGCTGACTCTCAGCCTCCCCACTTAAAAATGATTGGATTCGGGGCATTTGGTATCCTTTGAAGTCTCAGCTAGCTCTCAGTCTGGGAACCTGTTATAAACATTTGCTTTTACTTTCAGTTCCAAAGTTTTTCCTGCCCGTTGCACGTAAAAAGTCATGCAAAAAATTTCAGAATTAGCCATGTTTTGGAGAGAAAAGAAAAAAAGGGAAAAAAAAATTTGGTTCAGTCTGCACTTTGAATCTGTCGGTTCTCTGTCTGGAGATAGATAGCATTTCTGATCCAGTCCTTTGGAGTTGTGGTGGATCATTGCAGTGATCAGAGTAGCTAAATCTTTTCACAGTTGAATATCATTATAATATCGCTGTTACTGTGCACAATGTTCCCCCCCCCCTTTTTTTTTGTGAGGCAGTTGGGGTTAAGTGACTTGCCCAGAGTCACACAGCTAGTATGTGAGGGGATTTTGGAGTTCTTTTTTTTTGTTTTTTTGTTTTTTTTTGGTGAGGCAGTTGGGGTCAAGTGACTTGCCCTGGGTCACACAGCTAGTAAGTGTCAAGTGTCTAAGGCCAGATTTGAACTTAGGTCCTACTGATTTCCAAGGCTGGAGCTCTATCCACTTCGCTACCTAGCTGCGCTTGCTTACTTCATTTTGCATCAGTTCACATAAGTCCTCTCATGATACCAACATTTATTTTGGAAGCCAGGCTAATAATATTTCCATTTACCTTTCTGCTACTTTTCATATAAATGAAATGCTTTCATTTTAAAAGAGGACATTTTTCAGTACAAAGTGGGTGTGCAGAATTAATCAGTGAGTGACCTCATTTGCAAAATGAGAAAGGCGGCCGGCTGTCAGTTGATGCTGTAGCATTCTACGCTTATCTTTTGGATCATGCAGAACTTTGAGTTTTGCTCCTTTCCCAACAGTCTGTCAGCTTAGATTTATTGGGCGTGCTTCACTGCAATAGAAGGAGGCTTCATTTTTCCCCTCTCCATTCCCATAGAAAAAGGGGGTCAGAATTGAGCACAACAAGTATTTCTATGCATATCAAGAGGATGTGGTCCTCAAATTTATGTGGTCATACATAGTAGCCAGTAGGGCCCACGTTAATTCCGTGTTTCTGTCATAATTCAATTAAGATGCAGTGTTATCATGGAAGAAGTAGCATAGTCTGATGGATAGTGGTTGCAATCAGTCCTGCCTTTGACACATCCTGCGTGCCCCAGGCAGATCACCAGACCTCTCAATGCCTCAGGGCAGTATCTAAGACAACACCTTTCAGAGCAGATGTCATATCAGAGATAGTTGCCTCCCTTGATGAAGTCCCTGATCTTTCCTCTCCACCCCCACCACAGTGACCACTTTAGAATGATGCCTTTAAGAGGGAGTCAGCTGATCTGCTCCTGAGAGTTTCACTCAATTCAGGAGCCACACTTGACACGTCCATCTCCTTTGGAGTATTTGGATTTGAGAATCGCTCTCAGTGCCTCGGCCTGTTGAGGTGTTGAAAGGTAGTTACAATGCTCCCTTGAGTAGAGAACTTGCTCAGATGGTACGCTGTGTCATGGAAACACTTGGAGGTGGTTTGGAGACGGTCATCTAACCGGGTAGGATAAGCCAGAAGGTAAGTGACCCATCTGTAAACCAGCGTTTTCTGTTTGGTTGGCTGGTTTTTTGTTTTTGCCTTAAATATAGGCATAATTGGGCAGAAATCCAGCTGATAATTACTTTCTTCAGATAATTTGAACTGCACAAGTGAGTAACCAAAATCAAAATGGTGTCTTGTAGGATGAGAGGGCCAAATGTAGCAGCTATGCTGACGAGCTGGCCAGATTGGAGCTGAAGTGGAAGGAGCAGGTGAAAATCAGTGAGGAAGCAAAGCTGCGCCTCGCGGAGGTGGAGGACCAGTATAAAGTCAGTGTGGTCCTTGTTCTGTTGTTTGTTAATAGTATGTTTAGTACTGTGGTGTCTGTCTGTCTGTCTGTCTGTCTGTCTGTCCAACCTATGTAGCCCAGAAAGTCTTATCCTCTCCACGTAGACCTGAGTCAAAGGGGGGGAAAATGACTGGATGTTGCCAGCTTCTTTGTGCTAATGTTGAACATCAGTATTCTGTAGCTCACTGTAATATTAGGAAACATGGGTGTCCCTTGCATTTCTTACAGAGCTTTCTGCTTAGGGGCACCTGGCCAGTACCTTTTACAGGGAGTCTCAAAATGCTTTGTGCGGTTTTCAGCTTTGATTACTCACAATGGCACGAAGACTTTTGGGACATCTTGGATGCCCAAGGTTAGTCAGTCTGTCCCCTGGATACCTATTTCATAGGTATTACTTGGATCACAAATTACATAGTAAAATATAAATATATATTCTGAATTTAATTCCTCACAATTCCACATCTAAGAGTCTATGCTTATGACCACCGTCTTTAGCTAATTATAATCAAACTACAAATACATCCCTATCAATTATTCCCTAAAGGAAATAAGTTATAATCTTATAATTTTAAGAATTTCAGTTTTTTAGTTTTTTGCATGAGTATTCTATGTGTGAAGACAAGAAGTATTTGATGCAGTGTTTGTCGTATATACACTATATGACAAATTAAAGTGTAGTTGAATTTATGGTTAAATGTTAGGAAACATTTCAAGATTGTCTTAAGGACCTCCTGTTTGTTACAGACTTGGCCAATTTAACTGTTCTCTTTACTTTCAACTGTGAAATTGTGGAAATTTGATGAAGCCATCAGTGAGCATTTTGTATTGAACCTGAACCTGTTTTTTAGACCGGTAGCTAATTTCTTGTGAAATTATTTAACTTTGATATGCTGAAATGATGTTTTTTTAACTTGACTGTGTATTGGTACAATTTATTTGAAAATTAGAGAGTCTACCAATGGTGTAACATATATGGTAAGAGTAAAAGGTGTACATTCACCACCTAATTCTTATCTGGAAGGAGCCTCTATACTCAGGAAGGATCAGCACAAGACTCTGTGTGTGTGTGTGTGTGGTCACATAGTTTGTGCTTTCAGTGTTTGGAGGCAAGACACTTTCCTTGCTTGCTGGAGGACATTGCCTTTGCACGTGGCTCTGGGAGATAGGCCACACTAATGAGAGGAGAATGTTGTGACAGGGCATTCCCTTCCGGGCAGACGGAAGATTGGTGTGTACAGGCAAGGCCTCTCATGGGAGTGTGGGATTTATGAGGGGAAGTTTTGGGGAGGTGAGATTTAGAAGGTGGTAGGTTGGGGTAAGATTGGATAAGGCTTAAGTTTTGGATTTTAATGTAGATAATAGGGAACCATGGAAGATTGACAGAATTAGGACAGCACTTTTGGAATGCTTATCTGATAGCAGTGCAGAGGTTGATTTGAAATGGTAGACTGGAAAAAAAGATTTGAGGGGGGAAGGGAGCAAGCATTTGTTCATTAAGTGCCTACTATGTGTCTGAGGCAGGATTTGAACTCAGATCTTTCTGATTACAGACCCAGAGCTGTGTCCACTGTGCCATCTTGCTATTAGGCTTCTTGGTAGTCTGGAGTGAAATCGTATAGATCTGAACTTGTATTTTTTCAGTGGAAATTGAAGGGATAGATTGTTCAGAGATGTGTGAAGAAGGAATGAATTTAATTATGCAGATTGGATGGGGTGGGGGAGGCACCAGAAGGATTTGCCTTGGACAGTGGGGGCCCCCATCAGCCTAACGGAGAGGAGACAAGTTAAGACTGAGGGTTTATTTAAGACAGTAAATCAGAGGATGATGAATCACTTTTAGGTGCTCTGAGTGTGAAGTCTTCGTGGCACATCAGTGGCTAGCAGATGGTTTAGAAAGCATAACTGCTACTTGGTGCAGAAATCAGGATGGGGACACGTGTTTATACGCATTATTATGTCATCTGAAAGGGGTACAGAATTGAAGTTGTGGGAGTAGATGAGATCACCAGGGGAGAGAGGAGAAGGCAGGCTGCGGACACTGTATTGGACATTGCTCACGAAGAGGAGGAAGGCCACAGAAAGGCGATCTCCAGAGAGGTGACGGAGGAATTGATTGTGAAGATTGTCAAGGAGAGGAGAAAAACTGAAAAAGCCCTTGGATTTGGCAATGAGGAAGTTATTGATAACCTTCAGGAGGAATTTCAGTAGAAGAATGTGGGTGGAATTATAGGATGAGTTAGATATGCCAAACTGTTCTTTAAATGAGTTAATGCTGACTTTTTGTACAGGTTCAGTTTTTGCAGAAAGAACAAGAAATAAATGATCTGACCTCACATTTGTAAAGTCTTACGAGGGAAAAGGAGGAGAAGGTAGGAAGTGCTTTTTCAGATTCTTTGCTGGTAGAATAAGATTGTATTAGAAGACCTGTGTATTTCAGAATACAGGTTGAAAAAAGGAAATGATATGTAATAGTCACTGTGAAATGGCTTCTGTCTTGTGATGATTAGTTTGCTCATGGTGACATCTTTTAAAGTAATCCAGTGTACAGACTTGGTGGTGTGTGTGGATTTACTTTTTCTTTGGTAACAGGCAGCATCTTTAGAGGAGGTGTGGTGGCAATTAATTACAGCTTTGTCTCCCATTCAGCTCTAGCCTAGGTCAAGCGAGCAGTAAAACATGATAGAAAGAAGTTGTTATCCTTCCAGAGACAGTGAAATAAGGGGGTGGAGGCAAAACCCAAAGCTTCATGGCATGCAGTAATAGGGAGACACAAGAAATGCATAGGTTTGAAGAGACGGCAGAGGGAAGGGCTTGGGGTGCCATGGTTAGTTTTTGTAATTGCTGTAAACAAACACTGCTAATAGAATGTAATGGAATAACATTTGCTATGTTATGGTCATCCATTTACATAGGGGCTGCAGCATATAGCAGATTGCCTTGCATCTTCCTTATGATTGTGTAAAACAAATGCATAGATACCTACCTTACAGGGCTGACACCCTGTGACTGTTGTACTAATTTTGTATGCTATTTCAAAAATGATTTCAGGTGCTTATCATGTTAAGAAAAATGGTTTAAGTAGGAAGAATAAGAAGTAAAGGGACAAAATTGTATTTAGTGTATGATAAACTTGTTCAGAATTGAACTTTGTCTTAGTGATCACAAGTTGAGTGTGATCTTTTCTTTAAAGTGTAATGAGCTTATAGTTTGCTAAGGTAAATAGTGAGAATGAAATCCATTTTTTCTAATCGAATTAAATCTTTAGCAGAATTACCCTATCAAATAAAATGGCAGTGCTGGAAATCTTGGAAATCCTTGTGATTTGTTGTTCTGCTTAGAGAATAGTTACATTTAAACTAGGATGAAATATAAAAACATTTTGGTCATGTTATAACAGCTGCCACCAAAGCAACAGGCATTTCAGTCGATTTACTGATTTAAAACAATAAGCTGACAAAGGTTTTCCATGTTTGTAACAGGAAATGTGGATATTTAAAAATTATATGTATATGCACAAAGATGTACATTTTTGACATTTTAATTGTCTTAGTATTTGGAAATGAGTGAGTTGCTTTGTACTTATCATAAAACAAAAAGGATAGACTTTTTCAATCTGGTTACCGTGGTAAATTTGAAATGTTGGATATGCACTTCTCTCATTTTTACCTCCAAGAAGTTTACTCATAGAGTGGAAATTAAACACGATTTTCTCCTTAGTTCCCCAAAAAATTCTTAAATAGTACGAAGGAAAAATACTGATCCTGTACTTTCAAAAGACATTAAAAGCTGATTATTCTTTAATCATTTCTGATAAATCCATTCTAGGGGTGTGATTTTGTTTAAAAGCTCACCGAGAATCTGTAATTGGTATTATTGAAGGGTGGAGTACAGATGTCATCAGCCAGTAAGGAGGTGCTCCGAAGCCACAAAGTCATTACTCTTAATACAGTTTCTATTCAGAGGTCGAATGGATATATTGCTTCAAATTCTGAGTGAATTGAAGTAATGATTCCTTTCTGTGATTTCATCTTTGAGTATTAACATTTTGAATTGAATTTAGTCCTCAAATCTATAAAGATTATTTAAAAATCCTTATGTATTTTTTATACAGTTGTTGATAGCTTCCTTCTTTTGTGAGCTGCCTATGCCAGTGCTCTGGCTGTTTATCTCTTTTAGTTCACTTTATGGGCATCATGTGTGAATCCTGAATCCTCACCATATATTTCTTCTTTGCCCCTTGTGCTGTACATGATACTGAGTTTTAGAAGAGTATAGGGTTATGGATTTAGAGCTAAAAGGGACTTTACAGGCCACCGAATCTCTCCTCTCCTCCTCCCTACCCCATTTTACAAATGAGGAAACTGTGGAGCAGAGGTTAGGTGATTTGCCCAGGGTCACAGGTCTAGTAAATGCCTGAGCCATTATTTCACCTCAGATTTGCAGCCCTATAGTTATTAATGGGAGATCCGCCAGATCTTGGACAGTGGTCTGGGCCCAAAATTCAAAAAGAGGAGGGGATAAATTGCGTTTGGTAAATCATGGGATGCTTTTAGGACAGTTCCAAGTTGCTCTCATCAGCCAAATCACATGTAATCAATCATCAAGTATTGATTAAACACCTACTATTTGTAAGGCACTGAGGATACAGATGTAGAGAATGGAATACCCTTACCCTCAAATAGCTTACATTGTAATAGAAGAGACAAAAAATGAATTTATAAGTGTCACCATTGGGACTGGACATTGTTATTAAAAACTCCCCTCTACAGCAGCAGGTTGGCACGTTCTCTACAGTTTATAATCTTTAAGAGGTGCCTAGAACACTCAGAATAAGGCTGACTGTGAGCCACACAGCCAACGTGGGTAGAAGGCAGGATGTGAAATTGGATTATTCCTGGCTGGATCAGCATTCTCTATGATACCAGCTTTGTGACTAAACCTGTAGATCTAACAGTAACAGCAACAATAACAGTAGTAGTGATGAATGTTGTTTTTCACTCATGTCTGACTGTCCGTGACCCTGTTTGGGGTTTTCTTGGCAAAAACACCAAAGTGGTTTGTCATTTCCTTCTCCAGTTCATTTTGCACATGAGGGAAACTGAGGCAGACAGCTAGTGAGGCTGGATTTGAACTCAGAAAGATGAGTCTTCCTGACTCCTGTGCTCTATCCACCGTGCCTCCTCGATGCCTTAATAATGATGCTAGCTAGCATTAATGTAGTACTTTAAGTTTTGCAAAATGTTTTATATTTATTATCTCATTTGACCCTCACATCAGCCTTTTAAGGTAAGTACTATTATACACATAGATCTCAGTGCACACAACACTGGGATTCATATCCACCCTCAGATATTTACTTAGCTGTGTGACTTTGGGCAGGTTACTTAACCTCTATATGCCTAAGTTTCCTCAGCTGTAAAATGGGGATATTAATAGCACCTTCCTCCCAGGGTTGTTGTGAAGATCAGGTGAGATATTTGTAAAGCACTTAGCATGGTGCCTGGCACATAGTAGGCCCTTAATACATGACTATTCCATTTCAGAAGTAAGTAGCTACAAGGTATTTTGGAGGGGAGAGCACCAGCCTTTGGAGGAGGGGAAGCTAAGGAAAGGTAGTGTTTGAACTGTGCTTCAAAACAAGAGAGGAATTTTATGAAGTGGAGGTGAAAATAATTTGGGCAAGAGCTTGTCTGTTGTAACTTGAGCAAATACAAAAAATACAAAAATACATTTTTGAAACACGTCCCCTGTGATCATTGTTTTGCATCCTGTATTTGTTTGACGCTGTCTTATCCATAAAAGACTTGGATCCTTATGGTTCTCTGTTGTTTTTTTAGGAGCTTAAAAGGAGACTTGAAAGTCAAGCCGAGAGAGTCACGGAAGGTCAGAGTGCCCAGCAATGCCAAGTGAGCGGCGCCTCCACAGAGCACAGCGGTCCTGTGCCTTCAGTGCCAAACAGGAGACCGGTTCTGCAGTTTGGAAATCCCTATGCAGCCCAGGACATAAGAGGTTTGTTTGGAAAGAGTTGTGGTTTTGAGTTAAGCTGGGCTATCATGGACTCTATGTATTTCAAGTGTATGAAAGGTAGGGGAAATATGTGATTTTCTTTTGTGGGTAAACAATGGGGAGAAATATGTCAATTCTTAGAAATTCAATAACTTACTTCTGGATGGTGGAAAGAACAGTGGACTAGGAGTCAGCAGAGATTTGAATGTGAATCCTGCTTCTGACAGTTACTAGTTGTGTGAGCTTGGGCAAGTCACGAAATACCTGAGTGTCAGCTTCTTCATCTGAAAAATGGGAAAAATAGCACACGTGGTAATCATCTCACTATTACTAGACTGGGTTGTGGTGAAGATGTGCAATAACATTTAGAATGTTCCGTAAGCCTTAAAGCACTATTGAAATTCCAATCATTTTAAAAACACCCTTGATTTTGAAAACTTTTGGGGATACCTAAACTATTTGGCATGTAAATTTTGATAGAGATTTACTGAGCCTATATAAAAACACTAAAGTATTAAGTTTCACTGTTCTTTTATGATTTTATTTCAGATGGAGCGGATGGCGCTTTTTACCCAGATGAAATCCAAAGACCACCCGTCAGAATGTTCTTGTGGGAGCTGGAAGACAACGTAGTCTGTAGCCAGCCTGCTCGCAACCTTAGTCGGCCTGATGGTTTAGAAGACCCTGAAGATAGCAACGTAAACTGAATTTCTCTTTTTCATTGCCTGACCTATTTATTAGAGTATTGTACATATATGGCCACTAATTTTGGAAAACCTGGCAGCATTTAAATTTCCTTTTGAGTAAGAGAATCAGTTATAAAATGCTTCAGAACCATTTTCTTCTTTGGTAGGATTTTCATTAAAGTAACAGGTAAATGTAATAAGCATCACGTAAGTTTTAGATTGACGTAATGAGAGGTAGCGTGGAGTAGTACAAAGAGTGTTGAGTTTGGAGTCAGAAGTCCTGGGTTCAAATGCTGTAAGTCACATCATGATCTTTATGGGCCTTGGTCTTCTCACGTGTAAAACGAGGTGACATTGGACTGGATGGTTGGCTGAAATGACTTCCCAGAGCCCGTTAGCTCAGAATATCTGACCCTATGGTCCTGTTTAAATGGGAGTTAATCAGTCTGAAGTGTTTTTATTCAAAAGAATTGAATTAATACTCACCAAGTAAGTGAGTGGGAACCTTTGCTTTCAAAACAGGCTTGCTAGACTGGAGTGAGATGTGTTGCAGATTCTATTTATTTCTTTGCCCGCTTGAAACTTTAAAGGATTTGAATTATATTAGTGTTCCCTAGAAAAGCCTCAAGCGCGAGTGTTATTGTGTGAGCTTCCTTTTTTGGAAGACGTTCCCTCACACATCTCTCTCCTGTTTAATGTCGCATCTCTTGTACTCTGGCAGGAAGACAAGGACGAGCACAGCATTGACTTGTGGAACACATCTTTGATTGCATTTAAGGGGTTTCTTAACCATTTACTAAATAAGTTTGTTTCTTTCTCGTCACACTTTCTTGATGAGTTGTGGTCTAAGATGGATTTAAAAGAATGACTTTATTGTGCTCTTTGCAAGAACAGGGGTATCATGACCTGCTTCTCATTTAATCTAGTTTGCTGCATTTAATTGCTATTAACCTTTGCAGAAGCTGATCAGTGTTCAGACAGGCATGATTTTAGCCCTGGTGCTCAGCACCCATAATGGAGAAAAATGTATTTCTCCCTTCTGCCTTTTGCCCTCCTGTGTCCATTACTGGGAATAATTAGGAAAGCTGTCATAACTTTTGCAGCCTATTTAAGGTCTGGAGTATTATCTTACTGCTTTTTCCCACCTTTACTCCCCATTTTGCATATCTAATCTGATCATTCTCGGCTCCAACATTACCTGTGACAAGCCCTTCTCTTCTTTAGTCATCTGCTTCAGTTTAATTAGCAGAGAGGTTGTTTCCCTTTTTTTTTTGAATCTGTGCTTTGCCCTCCTGCAAACCCATGAGAAGCAGCGTTAGAGTCTTGTGCTCATCTGCTGACACACTGAGATTTGGTAATGAGATGGAAAGACTCTAATCTGCTTGAAGAGGAAGTAACCTTGGATTACTGTTTCTCCATTCAGATTCTTTACACCAGACAGAAACCAGTTTGTATAAACCATCACAGATTTTTAGCTTCAAATTTTCCGGCAGTTGGAAATGAAAATCAGATGGGAGTACACTTCTAAAATGTAATTTTAATTTCTGCATGTTAAAAGAAGGACTTAAATGAATGACAATACAGGAATTCCTGATAAAATGATTTTTAAAGGTAAATTAGACTGAATGGCAGAGCAGTGTTAGTAAAGAAATAGCTCTATTAGGTGGCTGGAAGGAGAAGGCATAAAATAAACTCTGAGGAATAGTGAGTCCGGATAAAGCAGGTCACCCTAAAGCTAGGATGGAGGCAATTTGTACAGAGATTTTGAAAATAAATCTTTGGGTTAAGTGGCTCAGTTTAGTTCCCATGCCACCTTTTTACTGTTTCAGGGATTTTGTCTTCCATTATATAGTTACCATTTTAAGTTTACTTTAGTATTATCTTCCTGTCTTGGTAAGTCACCAAATGTGACTTTTCATAGAAACTTACCCAAGGCAAATATGATACTCTTTATTATTAATTTGAGAGACAAATCCATTCAAATTTGAGGGTAATGCAGCTGAGATTAATTGGGATAATAATGTATAGTAGGCTTGCAGGACCCTTCAGTATAATTCTGTGAGTCAGGTGTAATAGATGTTATTCCCATTTTATTTATTAGAAAATTGAGACTGTAAATGGGAAGTATTTTTGCCTATGATTGCACAGATGGTTTCTGAAGTGGAACCTGAAGCCCAGGAGAGCCCTCTGTCTCTTTGACATAGAGGGACACAATCAGTGACATCACAGCCCAGGAGAGAGACAACTGCTTACAGGTGTGGGGAGTTAAGAATGTCCTGTCCGTCAGGCTTTGATTCTAGGACCTGAGATATTAGAGGAAATTAAAAACAAGGTGATCCGAAGTTTTCTAGTATGAGCAAAAATGTTGGTATTTTAAGAAGTTGGTTCCTCACCAGAATTATGCTTTATCTACTTTCTTCTCTTTGATTTAACTGGTATGATTTCAGTTGTCTCTTATGTTGGCAAATTAATCCTTGAAAAATAAAGATAAATTCATATTATCAGCAGTAAGCATAGAGGGAAACTTTGAATGAAAGTTTGGATAAAACTTTTGATCCAATAAAATAGGGGACTTAAACATTTTTCTGAAGTATTTTCTACAGTGAACTTCTATGGAGCATACTTATAGACTCTATTCTTTTGAAACATTCAGGGAACTCTGTTCATTATTATTTTACGATCACAATTTAAAATCCAAGAAATTGCTATATAAGTAGGAGAATAAGATCTTGGGATATCAGGTGGTTATATCTTTTGGCTATCCCTAGTGCTTTCCATGGGGCCTTGAACATGGTCAGTGTTTAATAAATGCTTGTTGACTTGATTTCAGGAAGGGTAGTAATCTGTTGTTGGATACAGAGACCATGAACGGAAAACCAAGGTAGTTAATTAAATATGGGAAGATCACTAAATTATGTTGTCGTTAGAAAAATTCAGAGCAGAAACCCTGGTGGTCATTTTTTAGACACCAAAGAAATGAAGACAAAACTGAAATAATTGTTGCCTTCAAGGAGCTGTTACATTCCTTGGGGGGAAATACCATATACACATAGAAACTGAAACAAGATATAACCAGCACATGGGCGGGGAGAAGGCCATTCTCCAGTGCATAAATGATCAAAGTGAACAAAGGAAGAATTGCAGAATGTTCACAGCCCCATGAAAAAATGCTCCAGGTCACTATTAGAAAAATGCGAATCAACAACCCTGTGGTTTCACCTCATACCCTGCAAAGTGGGCAAAAATGATCCAGAATGACCACAATCAGTGTTGGAGGTGTGGTGGGAAGTTAGGCACACTAATACGTTGTTGGTGGAATTGTGAAATGGTACAACCATTTTGGAAAGCATTTGGAACTATGTAAATACAGTGGCTCAAATGTCCATACTCTGAATCAGAGACACCATTACTGGGTTTTTATAACCCAAGGAAGCCATTGATAAGGAAAAAAGTCCCTATGTACTCTAAAATATTTATAGCAGCACCTTTTATGATAGTGAAGAATTGGAAACAAAGTAGAGGCTCCTCAGTTGGGGAATGACTCAGTAAATTGTGGCACATGGTTGTAATGTAAGATGACTGTGCTGTAAGAAATAATGTATATGATGAATGCAGAGATGCAGAGTGAAGTAAGCAGAGCCAGGAAAACCACCTTGACAAACAGCCCTAGAAATGGAAATGGAAAGAATAGTGACACACCAAAAAAATCGTAACAATGCAGGAGGGCTCAGACAAAGAGAGATGAGGGAGGTGGGAGGCCTACAGGGGTCACATGGTGCATGTATTTTTGACTTTCTCAATGTGTCCATCAGTTGTGCTGACTTGTTTTCTCCTCTCTAGCAAATACTATGTCATATAGGATGGCTCTCCTGGAGGGACAGGAGGAGGGATACACAGAATAATCTGGTGATATAAAAAAGAGAAAATATCAGTAAATACTTTGGGGCAAAAAAAAAAAGAGGTACAGGTCGGAAAGGAGAGCATTCCATGCATGAAGAAGGTGTGCAGAGCCATGGGTTTGGCTAGAGTGAGTTTGAGACGCTGGTGGAACAGTCACTTGGAAATATACCTTTCTGATCAGCCATCCAGGTTGTCTTGGGCTGGAAATTTGTTTTACTCTGTTTTTTTGTGGGTTCTGCTGCTTTAGAATTTGTTTAGAGCCATTTTTTGTAGGTATTTGGAGGGGTTTGGGGGAGAGCTCTAGCAAGTCACTGCTTTCCCTCCGTCATCTTGGCTCCACCTTCTGTGTAGACATGTGGATGTAGTGTTTCTTGAATGCCATAAGGAATGTGCTTGTTTTCAGGGGACAGTGCTAGCTTTCTGTATGTTCTGTTACCCACAGAACAGAAGGGTAGGTCAGACACTGGATAGCAAAGGAATCTGAAAGGTCATGACAGGCAGAACATTGGCCTAAATCAGTTAAGATCTAATTTGCAAGTTGTACTTCTTAAGCTTTTGAACCCAGGGATGAGCTAAGACTGACTATTCTGAAAGAGATGTAGCCATTTTATGGATTCCTAGCTACTCATCATTGTGTTATAGGGACCAGTAGCTCATGCTCTGGGGTGCAGCTTCCAGGAAGAGCCGTGACAGTCTGGTGGCGCTCTGCCCTTGTCAGGCAACATCAGGGGAATTGTGCAGTTTTTGTTTCCACAGTTTAGGACCATTATGAGCTGGACAGAAAGCCCCCCGCAACGGGCATGGGCCTTGATTCCATTCCAGATGAGCATCGTTTCAAGGGATTGGGCGCATTTAGTCTAAAGGAGGGCAGTGGGCTTTGCAGGTGAGTGCTCTCCAGCCATTCGAAGGGGAAGAGAAAGTAGACTAGGAAAAGTAGGTGGGAGTTACAGAGAGGAACGTTAGGAGGCAACATGGCATGCCTTAGCAGGTAGTGAGTTGCCCCTTCTTTGAAGTCTTCCTCGAGAGGCTGGATGACAAGACGGCTTGCCAGTCTCACTTCAGTTTTACGAGCCTTTATTAATTGCTTTCCGTGCGCCAGACACGATGGTAGA